TTGTGGTGCCTCTAGATGAGATAGGCCAGGGATGAAGAGACATGATGGGCTAGACTGAGGTGGTGATGCCTGTGTTCTAGAAGGAACTGGAGGTAAGGACTGAAGGTCACGTGAGCACGTGGGAGTACAGACGTCTTTGAGGGTGGTCACAGGTTCTCAGGTCACAGGAGGTGATGGTTCTGAGGGTCACAGGAGATGATGGCTCTGAGGTCACAGGAGATGATGGCTCTGAGGTCACAGGAGATGATGGCTCTGAGGTCACAGGAGATGATGGCTCTGAGGTCACAGGAGATGATGGCTCTGAGGTCACAGGAGATGATGGCTCTGAGCATCACAGGAGATGATGGGTCACAGGAGGTGATGGTTTTGAGGGTCACAGGAGGTGATGGTTCTGAGGGGGATGGTCACAGGAGGTGATGGTTCTGATTTTTTTAGGAGATGATGGTTCTGAGGGTCACAGGAGATGATAGTTCTGATTTTCTCAGGAGATGATGGTTCTGAGGTATCAGGAGGTGATGGTTCTGAGGGGGATGGTCTCAGGAGGTGATGGTTCTGAGGGGGATGGTCTCAGGAGGTGATGGTTCTGAGGTATCAGGAGATGATGGTTCTGAGGGGGATGGTCTCAGGAGGTGATGGTTCTGAGGGGGATGGTCTCAGGAGGTGATGGCTCTGAGCGGGGGAGATGGTTCTGAGGATGTGTAGAATGAGTACAGGGTTGTGACAGAACCCTAAATAAGCCTAACCTTACGAGCCTGATAGTGAGAAACAGAATGGACTCAAACTTGTTCTGGGGTAGGAATTTTTGCATGTCGTGTAATTTACAGCTCCTTCTGGGAAGCAGTTAGCATTCCTGATCAAGTGTGTGGACCATTTTCTGACAGACTTTAACAAGACTGAGAAGGCCTTCTGGGAAACTAGGGTTACGCGCCCAGCTGATTGACTAGTCTAATAGCCCTTAACCAAATGGGTTTTTTTTTTCCCCTTTGGTATGCTTTCTAAACACGGTGAACCCTTCCTTTTTCCTCATCAAATGTTTCTAACAAACTCTTTCCATTGAATTTTTCCAAACTCTCTTCGAAAGAGAGATATGTGTGGGAGAGAATCAGCAGTGTGGAGGGGTATGGCAGGACTCTGTGGTGCGGCTGTGGAGGCATGAGACCTTGTAGGAGTCGTGTCCTGAGTGGCCAGTGCCTGCAGATGCAGGCAGGAGGTCAGCTCAAGAGGGACACGGATTGGGCAGGGCCTCCGCAAGAGCAGTGTCCAGAGTGACCTAAGCAAATTCTGTTTCTCGGCATTGACCAAGGTGTGAGCCAGAGTTCAGGAAGTCAGGAGTGAATGTGGTCCATTCTTTCAAAAAGTGTGGTCTGAAAGAGGAGGAAGAGGAAGAGAGCTCCGAGAAGGAATAACAAGCAATAATAACCAAGTGTATTTGGGAAGGAGTCCATAGGCAGACAAGGCTGGTGTTGAGTTGGGAGAGCCCAGGTGTTCAGGGTCCTGTGTGTCTGTGGGGTTGGAGGTCAGGCGTCCAGGGTCCTGTGAGTCCTGGGGTTGGAGGTCAGGCTTCCAGGGTCCTGTGTGTCTGTGGGGTTGGAGGTCAGGCGTCCAGGGTCCTGTGTGTCTGTGGGGTTGGAGGTCAGGCGTCCAGGGTCCTGTGAGTCCTGGGGTTGGAGGTCAGGCTTCCAGGGTCCTGTGTGTCTGTGGGGTTGGAGGTCAGGCGTCCAGGGTCCTGTGTGTCTGTGGGGTTGGAGGTCAGGCGTCCAGGGTCCTGTGAGTCCTGCAGTAGGAGGTCAGGCGTCCAGGGTCCTGTGTGCCTGTGGGGTTGGAGGTCAGGCGTCCAGGGTCCTGTGTGTCTGTGGGGTTGGAGGTCAGGCGTCCAAGGTCCTGTGTGTCTGTGGGGTTGGAGGTCAGGTGTCCAGGGTCCTGTGAGTCCTGGGGTGGGAGGTCAGGTGTCTGGGGTCCTGTGTGCCTGTGGGGTTGGAGGTCAGGTGTCCAGGGTCCTGTGTGCCTGTGGGGTTGGAGGTCAGGGGTCTACAGAGATGCCGAAGGAGCAAGAAGGAAGCTCTAGGCTGGACCCTTGGGGGAAGGAGACAGGCAGGGAACCAAGAGTGCTCTCTGCATTCTGGAGCCGTGACTGTGGATGCTGTGTTCAGGAGCCAGGCACCACGGGCTGGCCATTTTCTCCAGAGGGGTCTACCGGTCCAGATTTGGGTATGAAGACGACTATAATAATTGAATTGATTGTTCTGGAAGTGTGTGCCAGGGGAACCAATGAATTTCTGCGTTGTTTTTTTCCTCTCTGCCCATCCTTTGAGTTTTCGTGCGTGGTTTCTGGCCCAGGCCTGCTTTCTTTTCTTTCTTTTCCCGGGGAGCTCTGAAGGGTGCTGTGAGTCTCAGCCGTCTTGGTGGCTGCACGTCGTGCCATTTAGTGCCATGCAACAATTGTAAGGCCGTTGATGTCTATCTTGCAGCTGCTAGAATTACTTTAAACATTTTTTTGGGTACTGTGTACAAATACAAAGTTCCAAAGAGTACATACAACTAACCTTTAGATCATGAACTGTCTTACCTAGTTATCCATATTGTTCTTAGACAATAAAAAATGCTGTCTCTGTGTTTTCATACTGACAACAGCGTTTGTCAGTAAGCTTTGTTTGTTCATTTCTTCAAAGGAATGAGAAACTGCATATGTGTCTCTGCTCTTCATTTCAATACAAACAGTATTTTAGTGCTTGCTAGGAGTGGAACTCAGGCTACAGAATGCTCTCTCCACATCCAACAGTCTGTCTGTGATTCTGTACTACAGATAAACAGGCCAAGTGAAGTGATGAGTGGTTCCAGAGGTTAAGTGTGCATGGCTTCAGTCAGGAGTGCGAGTGTTCTGTGTCTTGGGAGCCTCTGACGTCAAGGGCATGTGGCGCGTCATCATGGCCTGGCCGGCGGCCATGGAGGGGAGAAGAGCGTCTTCCTCTCCACACTGCCTGGTCTCCTGTCTCCCCTGCAGTGTGTCCACACACCTGGACGCAATTCTAAGGCCTCAGCCTGGGGCTGGGGTGAGCGAGGGGGTGGAGACGGTGGAGGAGAGGTGGCTGCAGAGGAGGGGTGTCAATGTAGGAGTGTCAGTGTAGGGGAGGGGTAACGAGGGGAGGGGTCAGACTGTAGGGGAGGGGCTTCAGTGGAGGGGAAGAGTGTAGGCCAGGGGGTCGGTGAAGGGGGGGTGACTGGGGGAGGGGTGACTAGGTGGAGGGGTAACTAGGGGAGGGGTGACTGTAGGGGGACTGTAGGGAGGGTGGACTAGGAGAGGGGTGACTGTGGGGAGGGGGGGACTGTAGTGGAGGGGGGACTGTGGGGAGGGGGGACTGTAGGGAGGGGGGACTGTGGGGAGGGGGGGACTGTAGGGAGGGGGGACTGTGGGGAGGGGTGACTGTGGGGAGGGGTGACTGTGGGGAGGGGGGACTGTGGGGAGGGGAGACTCTGGGGAGGGGGGACTGTAGTGGAGGGGGGACTGTGGGGAGGGGGGACTGTGGGGAGGGGGGACTGTGGGGAGGGGGGACTGTGGGGAGGGGGGACTGTAGTGGAGGGGGGACTGTGGGGAGGGGGGACTGTAGTGGAGGGGGGACTGTGGGGAGGGGGGGACTGTGGGGAGACTGTAGGGAGGGGGGACTGTAGTGGAGGGGGGACTGTAGTGGAGGGGGTACTGTAGGGAGGGGGGACTGTGGGGAGGGGGGACTGTGGGGGTACTGTGGGGAGGGGGGGACTGTGGGGAGGGGGGACTGTGGGGTGACTGTGGGGAGGGGGGACTGTGGGGTGACTGTGGGGAGGGGGGACTGTGGGGGGACTGTGGGGAGGGGGGACTGTGGGGAGGGGAGACTCTGGGGGGACTGTGGGGGGACTGTGGGGTGACTGTGGGGAGGGGGGACTGTGGGGTGACTGTGGGGAGGGGGGATTGTAGGGAGGGGGGACTCTGGGGGGACTGTGGGGTGACTGTAGGGAGGGGGGACTGTAGAGAGGGGGGACTGTGGGGAGGGGGGACTCTGGGGGGACTGTAGAGAGGGGGGACTGTGGGGAGGGGGGACTGTGGGGTGACTGTGGGGAGGGGGGACTGTAGGGAGGGGGAACTGTGGGGTGACTGTAGGGAGGGGGAACTGTGGGGTGACTGTGGGGAGGGGGGACTCTGGGGGGACTGTAGGGAGGGGTGACTGTGGGGAGGGGGAACTGTGGGGTGACTGTGGGGAGGGGGAACTGTGGGGTGACTGTGGGGAGGGGGAACTGTGGGGTGACTGTGGGGAGGGGGGACTGTGGGGGGGACTGTGGGAAGGGGGGACTGTGGGGTGACTGTGGGGAGGGGGGACTGTGGGGGGACTGTGGGAAGGGGGGACTGTGGGGGGACTGTGGGGAGGGGGGCTGTGGGGAGGGGGGGCTGTGGGGAGGGGGGGCTGTGGGGAGGGAGGGACTGTGGGGTGACTGTGGGGAGGGGTGACTGTGGGGAGGGGGGACTGTGGGGGGACTGTGGGGAGGGGGGGCTGTGGGGAGGGGTGACTGTGGGGAGGGAGGGACTGTGGGGTGACTGTGGGGAGGGGAGACTCTGGGGGGACTGTGGGGGCCGCGCCCGGCCCCGCTCACGGTGAGGCTTCCGCCCGCGCCCTTCGCCCGCTCCTGGGCGGAGCCCCGGCGCCGGCCCCGCCCCTGCGCGGCGGCGGTGACCCAGAAACGCGTCCGCGGCCGCCGCCGCCGCCTCCGCGCGCCCGCGGCCCGAGGCCCCGCCCGCCGCGCGGCCCCGCCCGGCCGGCCCCTCGCCGCGGGCGCGCGCGGGGCGCGGGGGCGCGCGGAGGCTGCGCGCGGGCTCCGGCGGCGGCGGCGGCTCGGCCATATTTGATGGTTTTGTTGCGGCCGGGCTCCCGGAGCTCCCGGAGGCGCGGAGGCCGCGGCCGCCCCGGGCGGAGAGGACCGGGCGCGTCACCAACATGGCGCCGGGGCCCCGGGCGCGGGCGGCGTAGCGCGGGCGGCGCCGCGGGCCGCCGGGCCCCGCGGACCGGGCCGGCATGGTGTGCGGACGCTGAGCGCCGGCTCCGGACCAGTAAGTCCCGCGCGGCGCGGCCCCGGGCGGCGGGCCGGGCCGGGGCGTTGGCGGCTCGCGCCCCGGGGCGTTGGGCGGCGGCGGCGGACAGGTGGCCGCGGCGGGCGGCGCAGGTACGCGGCGGCCCGGGCCCGCACACGCCCGCGGCTCGTCCCGCGCGGGCCCCGCGGCGCCGGGGTCCGGCCCGCCGCGCACTTGGCGGCGCTCGGCCGGCGGGGCCGCGCACGTGTCCGGGGCCCGTGCGTGCGTCCGCGGGCGGCTCGCGGCCGGGCGGCCGGAGCGGAGCCTCGCGCCGAGAAGCGCCGGCGGGCGGCGGCCCCGCCCGGCTGGCGCGGCCCGGGGCGGGGGCGGGGCTGCGCGGCGGCGGCGGCGGCGGCGGCGGCGGCGCGGCGGGAGGCAGGTGCACGGCGCCGGGGGCCGCGGCTGCCCGGGCGCGCGGCGCGGCGGCCTCGCTCCGGCCCGGCGGGCGGGCGCACGTGCGGGGCCGCGGGCCGACTCGGCGGCGCCGCGTCAGGTAACGGACCCCGCGGCGCGGCCCGGCGGCCCGCACAAAGCCCGCGCCCGGCCCCCGCGTCCCCAGGCCGCGTCGGAGGCGCACCGGGCCGAGCGGATGGCGCAGCCGGTGGCGGCGGCGGGGCGGGTGGGGGGGGGGACGACGCGGGGCCGGGGGACGCGGGGCCGGGCGGGATCGGCTCGGCGCTTCCCGCCCCGCGGCGCCGGCGGCGTCGCCTGGGGGAGCGGAGCCGGGGCCGGGCGGGGGGCGGAGGCGGCGCCGCGGCCGGGCGGGCGGCCCGCGGCCCCGGGAGCCCCCCTCGGGGACCCCGGCCGGCCCCGCCCCCGCGCCGGCGCCGCGGCGCGCGGGCAAAACGCGGGCGATTTAAACGGACGCGCGCCCTGGCGCCGCCGCCCGGCCGTTGGGAGGCGGCCTGGAGGCCGGGAGCCGGCAGCGGCCTTCCGATCCGGTCCCCGTTTCCCCCCCCCCCCCACACCCGGTCCCCTGTTCCCACCCGTTCCCCCTCCCCCACCCCCGTTCTCCCGTCCCCCTGCCCCGTTCCCTGTCCCCCTCCCCCGTCCCCTGTCCCCTGCCCCGTTCCCCGTCCCCCTCCTGTCCCCCTCCCTGTCCCCCTCCTGTCCCCCTCTTGTCCCCGTCCCCGTCCCCCTCCTGTCCCTCTCCCCGTCCCCCTCCAGCCCCCCTTCCCGGGCCCAGCGCAGTCCTGGGGCGTCTGGCGCCTCCTGGAAGTGACCTTGGGCTGCGGTGGCCGAAGGGGCAGCATCCTCGGGGTCCGGGAAGGGTTGGCCTTAGCCCTGTGGACAAGGGTGTGTGTGTGCCTCTAAACGTGTGTGAGTACACCTGCACACCTTCACACATGCAGGTGTGTGTCCACATGTGCACATAGACACCTTCACACATGCAGCTGTATGTGCATGTGGACACACACATGTGCACATAGACACCACACATGCAGGTGTATGTGCACGTGGACACACACATGTGCACATAGACACCTTCACACATGCAGGTGTATTGCGCGTGGACACGCGTGTGCACACCCTGGCCTGGCTGTGAGGGCCCTGTGAAGTGAATTCTGGATAGCCAAGGCCACTGTCGCCCAGCCCAACCCTGCAGACTCAGGGCATGATGCTGGGGACTCAGGAGCCCCAGTGATAGCAGGGTGGCGGAAGTGACACATGGCCCCATGTGTGAGCAGGTGTGAGTGAACTGCTGGTTCACCTCGCAGAAGCCCTTGAGAGTCCTGGTCCTCGGGGCTCTGGTGATGACGGTATCTTCAACACACAGTCATGGGGCTGCAGACCGATCAGACCCTCCGAACCCCAACAGTGCTGACGGATCAGACCCTTAGAACCCTAACAGTGCTGATGACCCTCAGAACCCCAACAGTGCTGACCCAGACCCTCAGAACCCCAACAGTGCTGACCCAGACCCTCAGAACCCCAACAGTGCTGAAGTCCCTCAGAACCCCAACAATGCTGACGGCCAGACCCTCAGAGCCCCAACTGTGCTGACGGCCAGACCCTCAGAGCCCCAACTGTGCTGACATGATTAAAAAACCGGGACATTGGTTGTGCTTTCCCTTGGGAAAACCCCTGAGAGGGTTTTTTGCCTCCCGCTTCCCTCGGGAGGTAGGTTGCCTGCCAGGGTCCCCCATTCCAGTCTGGGGTCCAAGTGCTGCTTGCCCTCTCCCCTCCCCTCTCCCTTCCCTTTTCTTCCCCTTTCCCTCTCCCCCTTCCTTCCCCCTCCTCCCCCTTCCCATTACAGTTGGTGCTCTGTGGTCTGCATGCCAAGTAAGCCCAGTTTTCCAGGAGGTTATACGAGTGTCTTCTTGAGGAAGGTGGACTTTAGTTTTTTGTTTTTCTTTGGGTCCGGTCGTGGGGCCTGAACTCTGGGCCTGGGCGCTGTCTCTCAGCTCTTCAGCTCAAGGCTAGCGCTCTACCACTTGAGCCACAGCGCCACTTCCGGCTTTTTTCTTTTTGCTTATGTGGTGCTGAGGAATTGAACCCAGGGCCTCATGCATGCAAGGCAAGCACTCTACCACTGAGCCACCTTCCCAGCCCGGAAGGTGGACTTTAGGAAGCACTTCTTGCCTTTTATTTGAACTGGCAGCGCGGGTTTGCTTGGTAAGCCAGTGAGAACTGTCTCAGTTTTTCATCTCTTTCCCCGCTCACTACCTACCTTAGCAAACTGGCACTGTACCATGAGTGAACAGTCAGACTCCTCACACCTTTTTTTTTTACATTTTAACATAAAGAATGAGTTTGCTTAGAATTACTTTTTCTTAAAAGGTACTAGGAGTCTGGTGGCAACATTGAAAATGTTTTAATTCCTAAGAAAGTAGATTTTCTTTAAAGGTTCAGTGTTCCCTTTTTTTAGTCTTTTTTCACACTCTGATCCTGTACGTAAAATTTAGGGCTGGTTGTGTGTTATTGTGTAGTGTGTTATTTATCATTGGAAGGCCCGAGTTTGATAACCAGTAAAAAGAAGTGTAAGTTTGGGTAATGGGGTATTTTTATCCTTAGAATATATCTGTGTTGAGATTTCATTGCAAGTCTTTTGTCATTTCTCTGGTATACTTTTCACACAAACACTTCGTGCATCAAGAGGCTGTGTGTTGTGGTTTCTGGTTTTTAATGTATTTTTTAGCAGTTGGTCTGTCTTGGTGAGCGCAGTGGTGCTCATGATGTTGAGGGGGAAGAGCCGCTGGTGCTGGCCTGGACATGGGGGCAGTCTTCTCCAGCCCTGGCTTGAGTGGCCTACCTCAAAGCACAGGTCCTTACTTGAGACCAAATACTTGGTGTCTGATATACAACAAATGTCCAAAGGTGGATTCTTAGTATTGCCGTGGATGAGACCAGTCTGTGGCACGCTGGAGAGAAGGGGGGGGGGGGGCGCCTGCCTGCCCACGTGTGCATGCTTGTCCTGGGGCTTATCTCAGGGCCCAGGCTCTGTCCCTGAGTTTCATCAACGCTGGTGCTGTACCACTTGAGTCCACAGCTCTGCTTCTAGCTGTTTGCTGGTTTATTGGAGATGAGTCTCAAGGACTTTCCTGCCCAGGCTGACTTTGAACCATGATCCTCAGCTCTCAGCTTCCTGAGTTCTAGGATTACAGGGGTAGGCCACTTGTGCCCAGCTCAGAGCAAACTTTTGACTTGTTAAGTCAGAACCAGAGTTGGGCGTGAGATGATTGAGGACAATTTGGTGCCGGGAGAGAAGGTAGAGCGAAGCCTGCACACTGCACTGAGCACGGTCACCAGCCCTACAAGTTTATTAAAATGTCAGGTTCTCTCCAGTTTATTTGTTGAAGAAATTAAAAGTAGGTTGCTCTGTTGAAAGCACTAAGATTGGACAATAATTATTCTCCACAGACTTCTTCTGGTGAGGTTTGAACTCAGGACCTTGGTCTTGCTGGGAAGGTACACTACCACTTGAGCTATGATCTCAACCTATTTTGCTTTGGTTATTTCTCAGAGAAGGTCTGCATCCTTTGCCTAGACCTGGGCTTGGACAGTGATCTTCCTACCTATGTCTCCGATGTGGTTGGGTGACAGTCTGCCCTACGCAGCCTTTCTTTGTGGGTTTCTCTTGTTGGGATGGGGTTTCCCTAACTCTCTGTGTGAGTGTGTGCTGTAGGTATTCCTTAGGGTTCACAGACAGCACTGTCATCTGCTGAGGCACAGGAGGCTGGAAGGGCTTTCCTGAGCAGACTTAGTTTTATCACAGCACACTCTGCAGGTGAGACGGTTGTGTTCATGAGAAAAGATAATTAATAGGCCTGTGGGCCAGTGAAACTTCGTGAACACTGAAATGTGAATGTTTGTGTGCTTTTTGTGTGTCATGAAATGTGAGTTTGATGTGCTTTTTGCACATCATGGACAGTCTTTATTCTCTCCTGATTTTTGAAGATATGTGAAAAACCATTCTTTACCAAAGGCTGTTCCAAATCAAGCTTTTGACCCTGATTTATAATGAAACACCTGGTCACCTGCATGTTTTCTGTTGGTGGCTGATAACTCTTTCTTGCAGGGACCTGAAGAAACACCTTGAAGGTAGAAGTTTGGTAAATATGTTGGTAGTTGGCTAGTTTGAGATTTTTTTTAGTCTTAGTTGTTCTAGAATTGGGCAGGTAACGCGTGCGTCATTGTGTGAGGTAGGCTCAGTGTTCTCAGGGTTGTAGTTCTTGGTTGCGCTTGTGCAGTGTCCGCCTGGGCCCTGTCTGTGTACGGGTGTGCCCTTGAGGACTGACTGTCCCCTGGGGGAGGTGAGTGGAGGGCTGGTGCCTGCTAACAAAAGTGGAGCTGCTGTGGTTGCGTAGAAGACTGGAGGCCACCGCCAGCTCTGCTGGACTCACTGTCCTCACTCCTGCTTGCCAGGCCCGGCCGGCTCCATGGATGCTCTTCAGTGACCACTGGAAGGGCACCGTGGCCTGCCCTCTAGACAACCCTCGATGGTTAGTTCTGGAAGCTGTCAGCTGGTCTTGGGTTTT